TAAAGTAAAAGAGTCAAAATTACTTAAAATATCTATATTATTCCTAAATTAAATATTTACGCGTTAAAATATGAAAAATCTTAGGGAGGGTCAAAAATCACATGTCTACAAGCATCAAGATGGGGCTTCCTGGGGTCCTATATGTATTGGCTCAAGTGCTGGACCGTGAAAGATAAATCCGGCCTGGTATGTGTTAGGTAATTCAGTTTACCAAGTAAATGACGATATAAAGTAGGGTCCTTTACAGGATCCCTTGTCTTAGCAAGAAGCCTAGATGTTGGATCAAGTGGAGAAGAAACAAGAACCAGTTGTATTGCATCAAATTCCTTGAGAAGATCAAAGGTAAACTTCCTTTATGAAAGGATCAACCCTTGAAGTTCGCGGATCACCTCCATGCCCAGAAAAAAATGCAGGTCCCCAAGATCATTGATTCTAAATTCTTGATGAAGAAAATCTTTTAGTGCTTGTAATTCTGCTGTATCATTTCCTGTTAGTAATATATCATCGACATAGACGGCTATAATAGAGATAGAGGAATTTGACATTTTAAAGAACAAAGAGTAGTCATTTAATGAGTGAGTGAAACCCTTAAAATTTAGGGCATTGGTGAGCTTAGAATACCACAGTCGCGAAGCTTGACGAAGTCCATAAAGTTACTTTTTCAATTTGCAGACATGTGTAGAAGATGGTGGGATCACTCCTGCTGGGAATTTCATATAGACTTCCTCTTGCAAATATCCATGTAGAAATGCATTATCCACATCTAACTGATACAAACCCCAACCTCTTTTTACTGATGTAGCAAGTATACACCTAATGGTGGTCATCTTGACCACCGGTGAAAAAGTTTCAGTAAAGTCCACTCCTTCCTTTTGTATGTATCCTCTAATGACTAGCCTTGCTTTCAATCGCTCTACACTTCTATCCGGATGTTGTTTAACTTTGTACACCCATTTACATGGCAAAACTTTCCTACCAAGGGGTGGTTCAACTACCTCCCAAGTTTGTTGAGCTCAAGAGCCTCAATTTCCCTTGCCATAGCCTCCTGCCATCATGGTTGGTGTGCAGCCTCACTATAACTAATTGGTTCTTGAACATTAGATAGAGAATTGAGCATATGTTGATTAGCAGAGGAAAGTCCATTAAAAGACAGTGAATCTGGTGTTACAGGAGTGAGGAAACAAGAATTACTTACATCTGTGAGCTTGAGTGCAGTGCAGATATAATCTTTAAGATATGAAGGTGGATTATGAGGCCTTGATGATTTTCTAATGAGTGTGTCCATCATAGGTTCAGAATCCAGAGGTAGAAAAATATGAGTATTGGTCCCTGAAATAGGGGATCTAGAAGATGAAGGAATATGGGATGATCTAGGAGCAGACAGAGGAGTAGAAATGGATTGAGGTGTAGGACTTGAAGGAGTAGAAATGAAATGTGAACTAATAGGTGAAGTTTCAGGTAAAAAAATCAAGAATTGAACTAGGTGAATAACTTGGTTTAACAAGGGGTAGAACAAGATAACTTGTGGTAGGTGAGTTTATAGAAGCAAAGGGAAAGAATTCCTCATAGAACACAACATCTCTAGAAATGGTAGTCTTAAAAGTTTTAAAGTTAAGCACTTTATAACCTTTCTTGCCATGTGGATACCCAAGGAAAATACAAGGTACTGCCCTAGGATCAAGTTTCGTTCTGTGATCTACAATAGTGGAAGCAAAGCATAAACAACCAAAGCACATAAGGTTAGAGTAAGTGTGCTTCACCTTAAACAATATCTCATAAGGAGTCTTGAAATGTAAGACTCTAGAAGAGAACCTATTGATTAGGTAGGTTACTGTGAGTAAACAATCTCCCCAATAAGAAATAGGTAAATGTGACTGGTACAATAGTGCCCTAGATGTTTCTAATAAATGCTTGTGCTTCCTCTCCACTACACCATTCTGTTGTGGGGGTGTACACACAAGTGATTTGATGAATAATTCCTTGTGAAGAAAGGAAATCTGACTGAACGTTCCTAGTTCCCAATTCAAAAGCATTGTCTGATCTAATGATTTTAACCTTAGAATGAAATTGTCTATCCACCTTTGCTAGATAAAACTTTAAAACTGTGAAAGCATTTGATTTGGTGCTTAGGAGATAAGTCCAAGTGGCTTTGCTAAAGTCATCAACAATGGTGAGAAAATATTTGTAACCATCATCTGTCGCACTACTATATGGTCCCCAAGTATCCACATGAATTAATTCAAATATTTCTTTAGTAGAGATAGAGCTTGAGGAAAAATGGAGTCTAGTCTGCCTTGCCATTGGACAAACATAATAGGGGGTTAAGAAATTAAAACATGAAAAAACAGGAAGAGACGAAAAAATTCTTCATATTACTTAATGGCATATAATCTAGCCTATAATGCCACAACTTTTCCCTTACATTAGAAGTAGAAAAAGTGAAACAAGAACTTAAAACTGGAATGGAAGTAGACTTCCTTTTTGAAACAAAACCATTCCTAAACTTAGACAAACTATTTGAGACTAATACTGAAGGTCTTGATCTGAGGATGTAGAGTCCTCCCTCCTCTTTACCAATCTCCGTAGGGCTCTTCAGTGAAGGGACCTATAGTAGAAAACAAGAAGAAGAAGTGAAAAGGACATATTGCTTGAGTTGAGACAGCATAAGTGTTGCCTGCACAACTTGTGCACAGATAACAGATTATACCTAAAAAAAGAAATATATAAAACATTATCTAAGATTAGATTAGGCAAGAGTGAAATAGAGCCTGAATGAGTAACTTTTACTTTAAAGGAATTAGGTAGGTTAACCATAACATGTTTTGGTAAAGCCTTTAAATCTAAGAAGAAAGCTTTGTTAAAAGTCATATGCTCAGTGATTCCACTATCTAATATCCATGAATCACTTTGAATTTGAATGACACAGCATAAGTGTTGAAGAACTTTGTTATACCTGCACAACTTAGGTTTGCAGAAACTTCAAAGGTACTTGCTCCATTTTGTGCCATTTTCACTTGTTGAAGAAGCTGTGGTAATTCCGTCACATTTTCTCGAGTATTTGTCAACTTAGTACCTCCCTGCTCACTTTTTCCAACTGTGTTAAAAGTACTGTTAACCTGAACTCCTTCTTGATATCTCCTCTGCTTTGTGAACTTAAAATCTGCAGGAATCCATAGAGCCTGTAGCACTTTTCAATGTTGTGACCAACCTTTTTATAGTAAGCGCATCTAAGTCCTGCTTTCTTAGCATCAAAATCTGTTTTCTGTCCTCTATTATTATTCATCTTCTTATCATTTCCTGCATAGTTGGCTGCAATGAAAGAGGAAGAATCTACTGGATGAGCAGGGTTAGCATGAATTTCCCTTTGTTTTTCATCTTGAATCACGAGGGAGTAGGCTTGCCCAATAGTGGGTAAAGGAGAAGACAATAGAATATTGCTTCTCACCCCTATGTAGGTGTCATTGAGCCCCATTAGAAACTGCAACAACCTCTGGTCTTGGTGAGTCTTCAAGTTCTTTCCTTTAGCTCCACACACACACTCACATGAACATGTGGAAAAATTAATTAGAGTATCTAACTCATCCCACAAACTTTTCATTTTCGTAAAGTAGCTAGATACACTAGAGTTTTCTTGAACTACATAACTTAGTTTTTATTGAAGTTGAAACAATTTTAGCACCATTTGTTTGACCAAATCTGTCTTCCAAATCATTCCATAGGTCCTTTTCATTGTGAGAATAAAGCACACTCTCTGCAATCTCCTTTGATAGAGAGTTAAGCAACCAAGACAAGACCATGTCATTTCCTCTTGACCAAGCACTTTGAAGCCCAGAGCTTTCATCCGGAATGGAGATGGTTCCATCAATAAAATCCAATTTGTTCTTTGTATAAAGAGCTATCACAACAGTTCTACGCCAAACACCATAACTTTTGCCATCAAAAACTGAAGAAACCAGGTTCATTCCTGGATAGTCTAAGGGGTGAAGAAAAAATGGGTGTGATGAGTCAATCGTTACTTTCTTGGATGAATCAGCCACAGTAGCCACAAAGGTATTAACATCAGATGTTTCTACCATTTTGAAAAGAAGGAGGCAGAATGAAAAAGTTAAAGAAAATTTTCAAAATATGCTCTGATACCATGAAGAGAATGTGAATTCCAAAACAATATTTCTTCTGTATCTCGTGTGTATACAATAAGTCTCCTTTTATGCAGAGAAAGCCAACTCAAGCAATTATCTTAAGTCTATTCTTTAATTTAAAGCTATACTTTTTCTTTACCCAATACACATAAATGCGTAATTGGCACTTACAGACAATAATATCAAAAACATAAAAGCTAGCTACTTTTGTTTGTCCCTAGCTACTTTATTATCCATTATCTTGGGACCAACAATTTCGACTATTAATTAAAACAAATATAAATTTAATCCAGAAAATTATAATTTCGAAGCAAAGGACCCCTTAAATTTTGTCCCTTATGCATTTTTCGTTTTGCCTTTGATCTTTAGGGTTATCAGTACTAAAAAGAAAAGCAGTCCAGAAAGGAAGGAAATATCAGGTCACACTACTAGTGACATTTGTCCACCCTTCTTATTACTATTTAGTCTATTTTCTATTTAGCTGCTCGAAGGAGCAGAAAACATTTTCGATAAAATTAAAGGAGTTACTTGAAATAACAAGCACTAGCTTCTACTCAGATTTATCACACACAGCGAACATAATAACAACAAATACAATTTTTTTCTGTTAGTTTAATATCATTGCAGTTCTTATATGTGTTTTGCAAAATGAAGTAGGTGCAGAAAAAAAAAAAAGGACTGATGAAACTTACTTATGTGAAGAAAAACATAAACAACTCTTTCAGTTGGATTTCAAATTGGGAGAATGACATAAATATGATCATTTAGTGCCACCATTTAAATTTTAATCCTGGAAAGTAGGGGTGTACATGGACCGAGTTGGTTCGATTTTTATCAAAACCAAACCAATGCAACTATATCGGTTTGGATTGGTTCGGTTTTGTCGGATTTTTCGGATTTTTCGAGTTTTTTGTTACTTAAATATTATTTTAATCTTACATTGTTAAATTTTTAATAAGCACATATATGTTTAGTAAAAATATAAAAAATTGACAAACATATTATCTATTAAAATATTTTTTTGAGAGAATTTTCTTAGTAACATATAATAGTTATTTTTTTTAGTCGTCTGCCAATAATGTTTCATTAATGTACACTTTTAAGGTTAGCCAAACTTAGTAATTAAACATAAAAATCAATACGATACCTAAATAATAATAATAATCACTTCACATTCGAAAAAGATATAACAATTTAGTAGATCTTAACATATGATATGAATATGGAAGAACAAAGATATTGACGCATTTTAGTAATACTTGATGAGAAAGTGATCATACAACCCATTATTTAAGGTTAATAAATATGGAGCACTTCATATACTATTAAATATTATATCCCGCAAGATAATCTCAAATATTTCTAGACATATTTTAAAGAAAATTCTATATAAATCTTAAAAGTATATATAAAAATTATATATTTATATGTCAGTTTGGTTCGTTTTTTTTTATTCAATACCAAACCAAATCTAGTCGGGTTTTTTAATCGATTTGATTTGACTTTTCGGTAGGGTGCAGTTTTCCTGATCGGTTTGTACACCCGTACTGACAAGAAAAGTATTCGAAAATAGTTTCCAAAAGTCCTGCGCAAATCTTATGGTGATTCGTCCGAAATCTGGCAGTTGTCATAATGTTGCAATTTATAACAATCATCACAAAATTTTGACTATTACCATAGTTTTCTGCAATTAGCCACAAAATTCTAATTGCTCGCCAGAATTTCGACAGTTGCTATAATTTTGTAAGTTATAATAGTGTGACGACCCGGCCAGTCGTCTCATGAGTTACCTCTCCATTTTCCCCATTTCTGCTTCTTTATGCTTCGTTATCCGTGTTTTATGTGATCAGATTGATCAGTTTGAGTTCGGAGAGGATTTGGTAAGAATGAGACACTTAGTCTCTTTTAAGAAGGTTTAAGTTGGAAAAGTCAACCGGATGTTGCTTATGTGTTAGAGAGCTCTAATGTGAGTTCCGATGATTCGGTTAGCTTCGGGAGGTAATTTATGGCTTAGGAGTGTGATCGGAATGGGTTTTGGAGGTCCAGAGTAGAATTAGGCTTGAATTGATGAAGTTATTATTTTGGCGATTTCTGGTGGATAAGTGAGATTTTGATATAAGAGTCGGAATGGAATTTCGAGAGTTGCAGTAGCTTCGTTGTATCATTTGGGATGTGTATGCAAAATTTCAGGTCATTCGGACGTGGTTTGATTGGGTTTTTGATCGAAAGCGTATTTCGGAAGATTTTAGAAACTTAAGCTTGAATCTGATGTGTTTTGAGTGATTTGATGTTGTTTAAGGTGTTTTGATGATTGGAGCAAGTTTGAATAAGATTTTAGGATGTGTTGGTGCCTTTGGTTGAGGTCCCGAGGGCCTCCAGTGACTTTCGGATGGTCATTCGGGTCATTTTTGGAGTTCGGGAGTTGCAAAAAAATCTGATTAGGTGTTGTAGAGAATTACCCTTCGCGATCGCGTAGGGTGTATCGCGATTGCGTAGAAGGATTTGAGGAAGTCCAGAATTAAGCCTTCGCGTTCGCGTGAGAAGCTTCGCGTTCGCGGAAGGCTGGGAAGCTGTGCATCGCGTTCGCGTGAAGGCACTCGCGATCGCGTAGAGGAAGATGGGCTGAAGATCATTTGTGCATCGCGTTCGCGTAGGTGAGGTCGCGTTCGCGAAGGTGTAGGAGGCAGAGGCATCGCGTTTGCATGGTCCTGGTCGCGTTCGCGTAGTGTAATTTTGGGGAGTTTAAAATTTGTTCTTCGCAATCGCGAGGGAAGTGCCGCGATCGCGATGAAGGAAAAGCAGGCCTGGGCAGAATGTTTTAATTCATTTCATCCGCGATTTTGGAGCTCATTTACTCCATAGTTGGTCTTTTTGGGAGCTTTTTGAAGGAAATTGAAGAGGGATTCAAGGAGAAACGTTTGGAGGTAAGAATTTCGGACCTAAAACTCGAATCTATTGTGAAATCCACCAAGAAATCATGAAATCTTAAGCTAAAAATGGAAGAACTAGGGCTTGGAATTTTGGACTTTTGATTTGGGGATTTGGAGGGCCATTTGGGGTCGGATTTGAGAATTTTTGGTGTGTATGAACTCGTGGGGAGATAAGGAACTCATTGATGTGAAAATTTCTGAGTTTCGAGAAGTGGGCCCGGGGCTCAAATTTTTCTAATTTCGAGATTTTTGGTATTTTTCGATTGTTTTGCTCGGGCTTTGTTTCCTTAGCATATTGTGACGTATTCGTTCTGATTTTGGATAGATTTGATGCGCGTGGAGGCCGATTCAAGGGGCAAAGGCGTCGTGAGCTAGAGAGTTAGCCGGTTCGAGGTGCGTAATGATTATAAATGATGTCCTGAGGGTTTGAAACCTCGGATTTGCACATTGTAGTGCTATATTGAGGTGAGACACGCACTTGACGATGAGCGTGTGGTCATATACTATTGGGGATTGTGACTTGGTCCGTCCCGATTAATGATTTTACCGCGTATTTGATTGTAAACTATGTGTTGTCATCATTATTTGGGCTGAATGCCATAATTGGGCCTAGTGCCAACTATTTGAACCCTTCGGGGCTATTTATTGATATTTTATCACTGTTTTGGCTTGTTACTTGAACTCAGTCATGATAGTTTCCCACTATTTTTACTATTCAACCATTCTTTCTCAGTTTTCAAGACTTAAATGATATTTTAAATGATGTTTGGGCTGAAAACACTGTTTTACTATAGCCCGAGGGGCTTGTGATGATTTTTGGACTAAGTAAGGCCGACGACCTATATTGTGAGGAACATTGATACTGATATGAGGCCGAGTGCCTGAGATACATATATACGCCACGCAGTGGCTTGATTGATATGAGGCCGAGGGCCTAGATTTGATGCCATGAGATGGCTTGATATTGCGCTTGGGCCGTAAGGGGCTCCTCCCGGAATCTGCACACCCCCAGTGAGCGCGAGTACCCATTGTGATGTGAGATTGAGCCCGAGGGGCAGAAATTGTTGATACTGTGCCTGAGGGGCGAACTTCTATGTGTTTATTTTATCATAATTGTCTGTCGATTACCTGTTTAATTGTTGTAGAAGTATTTTATTCTACTTTTCATTGGTTTTCTGCTTGCAAATTTCTTATTTAACTGCTTCATTATAGAATACCTTGTGTATACGTATTTTTTTACTTTTAGTCATTATTTATATTTATTACTCACTGGGTCGGAGTACTCACATTACTCCCTGCACCATGTGTGCAGATTCAGGCGTCGCTGGTTCCACTCCCGAGTGCTGATTCATTTCAGCTTCAGGCGGATCTTCGAGGAGTCTTTGGGTAGCTGTTGGCGTTCGCAGCCTGGAGCTCCTCTCTATCTATTTCTTTTACGTTTCTAGCTCAGTATTTGAAACTCTGTAGTTACATTTGAGGATTCAGTATCATAGATGCTCGTGACTTGTGACACCCCGGTTAGGGCTGTGTCGGGATGGGTTTCCACTTTGTTATCTCTATTTCCGCTAGCTATTGCTATTAAATCATGTTTAAACTATTTTTATGCTATTTAACTGCTTAAAAGGATGAGTTGTGTTAGACTGGCTGACCTTGTCTTCACGAGAAGTGCCATTACGATCGAGTTCGGGGTTAGGGTCGTGACAGATAGTCACAAAATTTTGAATGATTGTCGAAATTTTTTATGTAATTGGCCACAAAATTCTAAGCTATCGCAAGAATTTTTTCTATTTTGGCTGAAAATTGTGGTGATCATTAAAATTCTCGGTGCTTTAAAATTCTGATCAGCGTGCTTTAGTTTTGAAGCAAGGTTATTTTCTCTAAATTTTCTTAACGGGATCTAAATATGACGTAGTTTAAAAATGATCCATCCAACGTCATTTCTAGTTTCAAGTTGGCCAGGATCCGAATGTTTTGGGCCTGTGTCTCAGCTAGATTCAGCCCATTTAA